AGAGAGAGAGAGAGAGAGAGAGAGAGAGAGAGAGAGAGAGAGAGAGAGAGAGAGAGAGAGAGAGAGAGAGAGAGATGCACAATACATAAAATCTGACTTTTTCATTTAGACCAAGAATAAATAAGGACAGCCTAAGATGATTTGCCATTATGCCGGTGTAATAAAAGATAATGAGCAGCTCAACATATGACAATCGTATCTTATTCTCTCTTGTATCTATCTGAGATTCAGATCAATGAAAGATTCTTTTCCTCCCTCATAATTCGACATGTTGATGGTCGATTGCCTAAAATCCACTGAGATAACGACAAATGGGTTTTATCTGGCTTAGTAAGCCTTGGCTGTAAGTGGATCATAAAAAACACAAATGCAACAAAGTAACAAAGACCACAAGGTCGCTATTTATTATTTTTTAATAACCTTTCATAAAATATTTATTAATTGTCTATGAATATTTGCCCCAGATATATAAAAAAATTCCGAGTTCCAAAGATCATAGTTTCATCCAGATAGCACAATTACTAGGCAATCAAATTCTCTCAAGTATTGTCAAACGTTTGAAATGTGATGGTACTCGTGAGAAATGATTACATTGAGCATTGCCGTTAATCCCCAGGCAATGATTTACTGCTTGTTTGTTTGTTTTCAAATGTCAGTTTACTAGGCTGGATGCAATCAGGTTAAGTCCATAAGCTAGATGCAATTTGGGATGGTCTGGTTGAAGTTAGTTGCACAACACCGTATTTATCCCATTAAATAACCTTTTGACAAACGAGGAATGCAAAAGCAAAACTAAAAATTAGACGAACATCGTGTGAGAAGATAAAAATATATGGTCCTCTTTTTCAGAGACAGATTATGTAAATAGAAACTATATTGACAAATATAAATAAATAAATCAACAAAACAAGAAACAAAACACCCCCACTTCACCAATTACCATATAACAGCCACCAAACAAGGTACAAATCATCAACGAAGACTGTTGGATGGATAAAGTGTAAAGGTTAATTACAATACCATAAAGAAAGACATAAATCATATATTGATGTATAACCTGACTTTCATATTAATTTAGTTTAAATATATTTTCAGGACGGACATATTTTAAGACCAAAATATATAATTGATTCAAAATCATTACATTCGCATAAATCGTTCTAAATCAAATTTTGCGACATAACCATATCCGACCCATAAATTTCAAGATAACTATTAGCGTGGACTTTAATTTTACCATAAAAGCTATAATAATTTGAAGTAGATTTTCTGGGAATAAAACAAAGCAGCGAAATTTAGAATACTACAGTATGTTTCCTTAAATATAGTTCTATTTGCTGTTTAAAGTACGCACAGTTAAATCTCTGGTCAAATTCATGTCATACATCATTGCATTTAATAAGGTTAATAATCTTCCTCTCTAGGGTTGTGGCTATCGGCAAAGGCCGAATTAGAGTTCTAAAATTAGATCAATTGATTCTTAACTGTTTGTTAACAATTAATAGATTGTTCAGTAAAGATTAAAATTAAACTGGTGTCATGATACTCTTCAGCCAAATGTTTTGTGTTACTCGTCGGTGGACTTCACTTTAATTGCCTGTGAAAGAAAACTCGAACTCTGACGAAGAGTTTTATAGCCTATCTAGGTCAGATCACAAACCCCAATCGGCAAAGTTTAATGTTGTTTATTGATATATACCATAAAATACCTATTAAATCGAAAAGAACTAACCTGGTCACAATTCTCTAAATTTTGTAGAAACTGAATATTTCAAGACCTTTTGTATTCAATTTTTATTTGGATAAGATAAAGTATAACTGGTAGGTAAGACAAGTAAAGATAAAGTATAACTGGTAGGTAAGACAAGTAAACCAGTTGCTGATAAGACCGTATTCACTGCTTCCATAGACCTATTTATTACTGGTCACGATTTTTGCTGTTATCGTTGTTGTACTATGTAAAGTTTAAAAAAAGATGATCAATTATAATAACTCCAGATGTACCGAAAATTCGTAAACAAAACGTACGTAGGCTTTTTGATTTTTTGCAGAGACCTTGAAACACTGAGTAAATACAAGATGCAAAATTTCTGCAAGATTCTCGCAGAACTGAGCTTTTGAGTAAGTGGCAAAGTGAGATCGCAACTCGCAGAGTAGCTTGGTGTAATCCTTCTGGTTAAAAATACCTTAATAAGGACGTAAAATTGTCTCATGCTTAAATATATGCAGAAAAATAGACTGATTTTCGAAGAAAAAATTTTTAATTGTTCGTAGACCCCCTTCGTCAGGTATAAAATATAACACAGGATTTCCCCCAGCATGTTTTGTTTGAATATGGGCACAAAACATGGCAGACTATGAAAGCATAAATCACCATATGAAACCATAAAAACTTACAATCAAAATCCATATGACGAAACATTGTTTGAAGGTCATTCGAGGTTATACTTCCGTCATGATCAAGGTCCATATTGGTGAATACGTGCACGGAAGAACGGTGGCTGTCATGGAAGTTGTTCTGCCAGCAGTGAACGAATTCATGCTCTGAAATCAGACCGTCCACTGGGACACGAAA